TTGCTTTTTAAGAGAAAAGAGTCTCAAAGATTTTTGTGCCCAGGCTAGCTTTAAACCATGATTCTCAGATCTCAGCTTCCTGAGTAGCTAGGATTACAAGGCATGAGCCACCAGCCTGACCACTTCTGGCTGTTTGTTGGTTAATTGGAGATAAGAGTCTTGAGGACTTTCCTGCCTGGGCTGGCTTCAAACTGAGATTTTTAGATCTTAACCTCCAAAATAGTCTGCATCTACTCAGGACCACAGGTGTGAGCCATTGGTGCTCTACTATAGAAATTGACCATAGTATGAAATTTTCTTTTCCCCTCATGGTGCTGAGAAGCAAATCCAGGTCCTTATATATGTTAGGTTTGCCCTCTACCAGTGAACTATGTTCTTAGCACTATACTATATAATAAATTATTACTTGAGTTTTCATAAGTTTCCTATTGAATTTATGTACCAGATTAGCTTACTCCCAAATAGAGGATGAATAAATGCTATTTTACTTCTAAAATGTGGGATTCTTGTGATCATATTAAATGTGTTTCTCTCCTTGTAACCTATGACACTAGTTAGGGAACTGGTGTTGAAACCAGCTTTCCTCAAAGTGCCAGTTTCATAAAGTAATTACATATTTCTTATTTTTAATTTACTTTATTGTTACTATAGAGGTGATATACAAAGGCATTAGGTTACATTTATATGAATCCGGTAATAAGTACAGTGTTATCTGTTCCCTTAATCTCTCCCATTTCCACCCAAAATTCTTCACTTTAGCATACTTCAGTTTCTCTGTAGTTTTGAACTAGAATGCCTCCTATTCCTCTAAAGTAATCTCTAACAGTTTCTGTTTAACCATCTTCTCATATACAGTTCAAAGTAATTGATACAGGTTTTTCTTAATTCTAAGCTCTGTCCTCAATTTGTATTGCTTGTATTGATCCATGAAAGAACTGGTTGTAATCTCATTTTCCCCCCCCTGGTTGTAGAGCTTGAACTCTGGGCCCCGGTGCTGTTCCTGAGCTCTTCAGCTCAAGGCTAGCACTCTACCATTTGAGCCACAGCAACACTTCCAGCTTCATGCATGCTAGACAAGCACTCTACCACTGAGCCACATTCCCAGCCCCTCAAACTCATTTTTATAGTCAAATCATCTTTGGTGTCTCTCCTTCCTCCCTTCCTCCCTTCCTTCCTCCCTCCCTCCCTCCCTCCCTCCCTCCCT